ATATAAAAGGTGCTTGCCTTGAATTGATTGAGTAGTCAACTTTTGCACCAAGTGAAGTGTATTGGAACATTGCATTATAAATCCTAATGTTCTCTCTAAAGGCAATAGCTTGCTCATATATTTCAAAATCTAATAATTAATCTAAGAAAAAATGGTAGACTTAGGAGTTTGAAGATGTACACAACCTTCTATATAGCACAAATTAAATGTAGGATTGTGACTTTTATGAATAATGTCTACTCTTTCCTCATGCCACATATAAGCTCCACAAAATGGACATATACATGTGGGACCTCCAAAGTTTGAAGGTTTTGTATAGGTTCCTAAATTTAGAGCTAAGAAATGTTTAGCTTAGCATGTATACATTAAGTAAAACTAAGGTTTCATTTATTTATTCACTAAATGTTAGTCTTGAATTAATCCTTATTTTGAAATGACAACATATTAAGCTAAATAAGATTTATTAAGATTTTGAAAAAAAATTATTTAGTACATGTTTTTAAGTTTTTTTTTTGGTACTAAATAAATTATATATTTGAAATGAAAAATATTTTGAAAAATAATTTTTACTTGAAAAGATTTAGTTAGTACATATTCTTATGATTTATCATTTTTGGTACAAAGTAAATAATATAATTTTCAAAATGATGTTCAATTTGCTAAAACTTGAAACAAATTGTTTTGAACTCAAAAAGAAAATTTTTCCAGCAATTTTTTAGATGAAAAATGCTTTAAGATTAAAAAAAAAACAATTTTCTTTCTTTTGTTTGAAGCATGTTTTATACAACTTTGAAAAAAAGGGATCGATCACATTGTGGATAGGATTAATCCCTAGAAAAATGGATCGATCCCCTACATGTATGATCAATTGGTTTTTTATTCAGAATGGTTCCAAGTTTGAATTTTGCAAAAATAGATCAAGCTCTAAGATATAGATCGATCGGATCAAGGGTTTTCAAAAATGGATCGATCCCTATGAAACAAGATCGATCAGTTTCTTATATAGAAAGCAATTTGATTTCAAAACTGCCAAAAAGGATCGATCCCCTCCAAAAAAGATCAATCAGTTTTAACCTGGATAGCCTCAAACAACTAGTTTTTCAAAAGAACAATGGGCATTTTCTTCTCCAATCATTTCCCAATAGCTACAAACTCATTTGCTCTATAAATTAGGTATTACAACACACTTATGGAGTAAGAGAACAAGTACCAACAAGCCTTAAATTCATTCTCTCAAGAATTCAATAGCATTTTAAAGATTAAACCTTTAATTCTTCTCATTCTTGTATCCAAGTTATATTTGTTCTTCATTTATCATTCTTTGTACTTAAATTAAGCAAACAATCAACCTTTGAGAGGTATTTCATAGTTTGCAAATTCTTTTGTATTTAAAAGGGAATTTTAAGTCAAAAGGTAGGGTATCCTCTTGAGTGAAATTGATAGGATTGGATAGAATCCTAAAAATGGTAGAGATTGCTATCTTAACCTTAAAATATAAGGATTTTATATTGTAAGAGATTCTTCTATTAGTGGATTGATTTTAGCTATGAGAGCTAAGAAAAAGAACATAGATGCCTTTGGAGAAGGATCAAACTTTTATAAATTTTTGTGTTTGAATTCTCTATCGGTTCTCTTTTGTTTTCATTATTGTTTATATGTGCTTTAATTTTCTTTATTATTATTAATCTCATCAAATTTCCATCAAAGATTTTATTGTTTTAAATTTCTCATTCAAATTCATTGAAAGTTAATCTTAGGAAAGAATTTAGAGGCAATCCAATTTGGCCCGCTTGGATTGTTATCTACACTTAAGCTAATACTAAATTTTTAGACTTTTAAATGGATGTTAAACTCATTTGTTATAGGCTGATGGGTTTGTCCTAATATTTTCTCAGGTAAACATTTGGCACTAATAGTTTCAATACGTACAAATATATTTAGACAACAAATTTTTCAAAAGGAACATTAGAAAATCTATGTTGTTGAAGGTTAATTTTTATAAAGTTTACTATTAAATTTACTTGTTCATTCCAAATCTTCATTAGTTTGCCTGCTTGTACTTCCATTTATTTTCGGATAATTAAGTTATGCGATGCATGATAAATCAGCAATTCTTTCATGAGCTGATAATTTTGTATAATTCATGCTACACACATAATCATCAATGGGATCTCTTATTCTAAAGCTCTTTGTTAGCGTGCTACCCAATTGTTGAGACAATTCCTTTCTTTTCCATTCGAGTTTTAAAGTTCCATATCTCATTACTCTTTTTTTTCTAGTACCATCTATTCTATCAGCATTTGTTACAACTGTAAATCAATTCAAAATCTAAAAATGAATAGATTCTATAACGTCGCTTAATGATAAACAAACAGTAAACAAAAATTTGGATAACATAATCTTTGCATATTATAGGGGCAGGGAAAAATATATTTGTAGTAATCACATACATGTCTTGCCAAGCTTTCAAATATTGGGCCTTGTATACAGGAAATTTCAACTTCTATCGTGATAATGGACAATCATTAAAATATTATTCCAAATTGAAACACAGACATTTGACTACTACTTTTTAAAAAGGTTAACATAGAACCATAATAAGTTAACCCATCAAAATATTTTACAATTTATTTAGCTCAAATAACGAAATAGAATGGTTGTCAATTTTACGCGTTAAATCAGCAAATAGACAATCTAATTCTCGCAATGCTTGTAAGCTACATCTTTTAACCGACAGATTCTGCCAAAGGGGTTTTCAACTAGTGACTGTGAGTAGCAATAAATCATAAGAGTCTTAATAAAATGATAGAAGCTGCTTACAAATCGATAGTTTCCTTTTTCAAAGAAGACAGATCTGCATGGCAAATGAAGGAATAGAATTGGATTTTTTTAAAAGTTTTTCTAAAAAAGGCTTTTGGAAGATCAAAAGCATTGATAACTAAATGGATATTCAACAGATGGGGGGAATGGCTAGATAAGAAAGGGGAAGAGATTTCATCGTTTTCTTTGATCGAATGAGTGCTCAAACAAATTTGTTGAGAAAACCCATAGTTGCTCTAATTAAATCCTCTCTGGTTTGAACATCCCCCTTGGAAGAACACTTATAAGTTGAAAGGTGAAACGAAATAAATGTAATAATCAATAAACAAAGGAAAAAGGTTGGATAAGGAAGGGAAAGACATCTTCCAAGTTTGGGGTTTAATGAGTGAAGCTACTCACTGTAAACAAAAAAGTTTATAAAAAAAAAAAAAAAACTACTGTTATTTAATGTTTTGTAGTGTTAACATTCTCCCTGGAAGTAAAATCCAATATGTTAGGCTCTAATTGTATATACTTGAGAAGTCAAATTAAAAATTTTCTTTAATAGTAGGATAACACAAATAAATTTTACTAAGAAAAGTAATATAAAAAACTTTTTAATAGAGAAAGGAGACTATAAGTTCAAATAAAATTATATTAGATATGAAAAATATTATATCGTTATGATAAGAGCATCAAGATTCAATTAAACGTAATTTACTTTTCTTCAAATCTAAATATTCAAATTAATGTACCGAAAATTTATTCGTTAATTTATTAATTATTAATGACTATTGTTATTCTTACTTTTAGAATTTAAAATATTATTTGGTGGTTTTTGAAATGCCTCTTGCCTTTTTTTCTTGGAATAAAACATGTTCATATGAATGGAAACTGTGCCTTTGTTATTACTTTAAACCATGAAGAAAGAAAAAAAGTTCTCCATCTGTCTTTATTTTCTTTTCTTTTTAAAATTTTCCTAATTTGCATGAAACTTTTGGGAAGGACAATAACCATAATAACTGTAAAACTCTCAAACCTCCCAAAAACAAACATATAGTTTCCTCTCTTTTTCTCATTTGGCCCATTCCTTTTCTTCTTCAAGCCAAAATTTTTTCCCTATCATCCTCCTACATTGTGTATTCCCATAGCAGCAACCTGGAAATTATTGCTGTAAGTTATTTTTATTTATAATTTATTTTTGCATTAAGAAGATTTAATATAGATACAATGCCTCGCAGTGTAACATAACTAAACCATATCTTCCTTTGTTTTTATTTTCTTTTAATCATTAAAAACCGTATAATTTTTATGAATTATATATGATTTCTCCAGGATTGCAAAAAAATTTTTTCCTTTCGGTTTTCCTGGTTATACGTAAATCTTTGTTAACAATGCCCAGAATTCGGATCAATGTGAACAGATAGACTTAATATGAATATTTCAGGTATATTTAAGATTGTCCGACAAAAGAGATTAAATCAAACAAACTTTGAAGATAAATCATTCCTGGTCATATTATAAAAATAATATTTCACATATTAGCAGAACCATCAAAGAGATTGTCAAAATTGAGGAAATTTTGGTATAGCCAAATGAAAAAAGGTTCTTGTATTATGAATTTACAAACACGATATTAAGAATTTCATGAGCTTATAATCCATCAAATTTGGTAAGGTGATATAGATTTATAGTAATATTAGGAATCAATTTTCAGGCCGTTTGGCTTATTTTGCACCTAATTTGAGGAGAAGCTGAGAATGGCAGAATTCTGAATTATTAGTTTCTGATTTTGGATGGTATGGAGGATCAACCCTCCTTTCCAATATTCATGGCTGATAATTTAAAAAATTTAACACAATTTTCATACTTGTCTCGTTAATGCCCCTCAAAAGTCTGTTTTGATTTATATTGTGTTGAGGTTATTATGCTTTTGCGCTATAAATTCACAAAATTATGCAGAAGTTTGCTACTGTAATTTTTATAAGCTACCCTCAAAGCACTGCAGTATATTAACATCTTATTCAAGAATCACAATTTTCATGGCTGCAACTTGACCCTCTTATTTTGCTCTTCCCGTATTTATCTTTCTGTTGAGACAAGTTTTTGGAAAATTTTTTCCACAGGAGCCGATGTTATTTTTAATACATCCATAATGTACCGTGATTCAATGTTGCAAAATACATGATCAGTTCTGCAAAATGTTTGATTGTTCTTCCAAGTCTCAGTATATTGGAGGTCAGAAAGAGAAATTTGTAAGGTAGGTACTCATATATCATATACAGCTTTACATTTTGCTTCAGAAAATGATTTATTGAATTTGTAGTTTTAGGCTATTATTATTTAAAAAAAAAAATCAGTGCCTGATTGTTGCTTATGTTTTAACTCTAGGTTGGATGATTTAGACTCTACAATGTCAATGTCATCTGGAACTGGAGGAATGAAGAAATGCATATTTAATTTAGAGGGCTTGACATTCGGTGGTCGTGGAAAGAAGAATGCATCACAATCTTTGAAGATAGGGATGAAGAGAGGATCAGAAGGACTATTAACATTTGGTCGCTCCCTTCGATCTGGAGTCACACGAGCTGTGTTCCCAGAAGATCTCAAAGTGTCAGACAAAATGATTTTTGACCCCCAAGATAGATCTCTTTTGCTATGGAATAAGTTTTTTGTTGTATCCTGCATTCTTGCAGTATCTGTGGATCCACTATTTTTCTATCTTCCTATCTTCAATCATCTATCACATTGCCTTGGTATTGATGTAAAGTTAGGAGTCACAACTACAACCATTCGGACAATAATTGATGCTTTCTACCTCATTCGCATGTGTCTTCAGTTCCGTACAGCATATATTGCACCATCATCGCGGGTTTTTGGACGAGGTGAACTTGTTATAGATTCTGCACAGATAGCCGCACGATATTTAAGTCGTTACTTCATTGTTGATTTTCTTTCTGTGCTCCCACTGCCACAGGTTTGACAAACTACTTACTTCAATCTCTAGATTTTTATAATAAATATAGGCCTGATTGAGAAGTGATGTTGCTGATCTGAGCATATTTGCCGGCACTCCAGGAATTGTTACATTTATTCAAAAGATCAAAACAATCATAAAAACATTTTGTACATGAAAACTCCATGAGAGAGATTATGCTAGCATAACATACTACAGGCAGCTGTATCTGTTCTGAATTGCGTAGGAGGAGAAAATGGTTCTTTTTCTTAAATGCTTCCTTGTCTGCATGCAGATAGTGGTGTGGAAATTTCTTCACAGATCAAAAGGTTCAGAGGTATGGGCAACGAAACAGGCATTGCTAATCATTGTATTTATTCAGTATATTCCTAGGTTTGTCCGCTTTATACCATTGACTTCAGAACTGAAGAAGACCGCCGGTAGTTTTGCTGAAGGCGCTTGGTCTGGTGCTGCGTATTATCTGCTATGGTACATTCTTGCTAGTCATGTAAGTTTTTGTTCCTTTTCTTCTGAATTTATTACTTCTAGTTTGGAAGCAATTGCCTGGACAGTTTCCTTTCTGACTAGTTTGAGATGGAATACGCAGATAGTTGGGGCCTTTTGGTACTTACTGGCTGTAGAGCGTAATGACACATGCTGGCGAAAAGCTTGTATCGGTAGTGGAAAATGCAACATAGATTTCTTGTACTGTGGCAACAAGCATATGCGGGGTTTTGCAGACTGGCGAAAGGTCAGTGAGAAAATACTTGGTAGTAAATGTTCTATTAAAGAGGATACCGATTCATCACCATTCAATTACGGGATCTACACACAAGCTATAGAATCTCGCACTGTTTCATCCAACGTCTTCTTCTCTAAATTCTGTTACTGTCTGTGGTGGGGCCTGCAGAATTTAAGGTTGCTTCTGTGTAGTTTATATTTGACTTTTGTTTTTTCTTTTTGCCTTTTCCTTGTACTCCTGGGTGTTGCATTTACTGATCAAGATCCATTTTATTTTCTTCAGTACACTTGGTCAGGGGCTTCAAACCAGCACCTATCCAGGAGAAATTCTCTTTTCCATAGCAATAGCTATTTTTGGCCTTATCCTCTTCGCACTTTTGATTGGAAACATGCAGGTAAATTGAAAACCTTGGTCAGATGAGTATTAAATCCTTTGATTTTCTTTTCCCGATAGACAACTTTTTGGATATCATGAGCCTGGGAGTGCTTGAACCAAGGATTAAGATCAAACCAGCACTTTGTCTAGGGGATGGGTGCCATTCAGCCCATGAAGCAATAGCATTCGACTCTACTGGATGCTAGAATACTTCCTGAAATGGCTTGCGGTTAACTGCCAATTGAATATTGCATGCTTATCTTTGAAAGAAGAGGAAACGAACAAAATAAAATGTTAGATATACAAAAATTAATGCTGAAGTTTGAGGTTTCTTGTGATTGCAACAGACCTACCTTCAGTCTCTTACGGTTCGTCTTGAGGAAATGAGGATCAAAAGGCGTGACTCTGAGCAGTGGATGCATCATCGTGCACTTCCACAGGATCTCAGGGAGAAAGTTAGGCGCTATGACCAATACAAGTGGTTGGAGACACGAGGAGTCGATGAAGAAAACTTAGTCCAGAGTTTACCAAAAGATCTGAGGAGGGATATTAAGCGACATCTCTGTTTGAATTTGGTCCGAAGGGTAAGGATCTTCATTTTTTTTTTTTCTTGCTCTCTATCAACCAGCTTTTAATGTCTTTTTGAGATCATCGTATGAATTTCCATGGACTTGTAAACCATGAGTTTTGAGCTATGCCTTAAATAGTAAGTCGAAAGTTATTGGCATGAATATTTGCATGGGAACCTGCAAATTTCATTGTTATGACAGCCGGAGGACTGAACCTGTCACACACAACTTGCTTTTCTTTTGGTTCAAGTATACCTTATCCTTTGTGAGCGTATAATATTTGTTCTATGTCGGTCTTATATTGCATTCTATGCTTGCAGGTTCCTCTTTTTGCCAATATGGATGAGAGGTTACTTGATGCAATTTGCGAGCGACTCAAACCAAGTTTATACACAGAACATACTTACATAGTTCGAGAAGGGGATCCAGTAAATGAGATGCTTTTCATTATACGTGGCTGCCTTGAAAGTGTGACAACAGATGGTGGGAGGAGTGGCTTTTTCAACAGAGGTTTACTCAAAGAAGGGGACTTTTGTGGTGAGGAACTCTTGACATGGGCGCTTGACCCCAAATCTGGTTCCAACTTACCATCATCTACTCGAACAGTGAAGGCTTTAAATGAGGTGGAGGCTTTTGCTTTAGAAGCTGAAGAGCTGAAATTCGTTTCCAGTCAATTTAGGCGCCTTCATAGTAGGCAGGTTCAGCATACCTTCCGGTTCTACTCACAGCAATGGAGGACTTGGGCTGCCTGCTTCATCCAAACTTTTTGGCGCAAGTATTCCAAAAGGAAAATTGCAGAACTTCGCCGTAAAGAAGAGGAGGAGCTAGACTATGATGATGAACAGGCCTTAGTTGGACAAAGTGATGACACTGCAGATTCCTACAGCCTTGGTGCAACTATATATGCATCACGCTTTGCAGCTAATCTTCGTGGCCATAAGAATCGAGTCATCACTAGTTCCAAGAGCTTGATGAAGGTTCCAAAGCCACCAGAGCCAGACTTTAATGATCTTGACACAGATGAACTTGGCTATAAAATCAAATGAGCTAATTCTGCTCACTGTATTTGTAAAATGTATGTATACTTGAAGTTTAAGCAGTTCTGGTGTCTGTTACTACTACAAATTGTCTAGTGAATACCAGTTTAGTTGACACTGGTTTAACTTGCCTGATATATTTTCCTGCTGCAGAAAATAATGTCTTCTCTTCTATATAGGCCATGATTCAGGAAAGTAACATTAATTTTGATTGAAAAACAGTTATATACTATTTGATCATATATATACATATATTATGTATTCGTTCTCAATCAACGAATCCTGCTGCGTTTTAATTATGTATTTTTTAAGCGTTTCCTATTTAAATCCCCTGAAGTTCTGATATCCAGCTTTCAATAATAGATATCAGACGCTTTCCGAATTCTGATTCTTCAATGAAATTGCGTTTGTATTTGTTCTCTGGAATAGTATGAACTCTTTAGACTAGAGTGAAGTTAGCCTTCAAGCTCTTGCACAGAACTGAATAGGGATGGCAGCTAGAGTTCATGACATATGTTTCTGTCATTTTGAGATAGTGGTACAACAGAAGACAGGTTAACCTTTACATGACCAATTGAATTAATTGTATCATGTCTCAGCCAGAGAATTGAACATGAGTTAATGTCAGTGGTTTAATTAAAAATATTCGATGTAGTACCAAATGTATTTTATTGATAGGTTTTTGAATTTTTAGTTTTAGTAATCAAAATTCAATCCTTAATAATCATAAATACTCCAAAAATATAAAAAATAAAAACAAAAGTTAATAATAACCATCAAAGTAATTTCTTTGATTAGATTCCTGGTAATAAACAATTAGATCATGTACCTACTGAACTTTTTTTTTCGCTTTTATGTACTAGGTTGGATTTCGAAATAATCATTAAACAAATAAAAATGTGTCAAATATCACGTGGGTCAACAAAAATCAAAGGTGAAGAAGGTCGAGATTTCGACCAATCAGAAGGTCCACATCTTTCATCAGACCCTTCATTAGCATATTTCGCCAACTTCTTAATGCACCATAAATCCTCGGACATGGAAAATTTCCTCCAATGTGGGATAACTTCCCGAACAGGGTCACTCTGGCCTACCTCAGCCAGTACTGCCCCACATCCAACATCGTCTCTGCCCATGTTATGGGCGAAGGCACATAGTGATTTCATGAGCCGCGATGCATTCTTACCTTCCATGTGTAATCCGTACAAGAAATACACCCAAAATTGCCTGAAAACGTCAGGAATTGAGGGTAACGTAAGCCATGGCATCCAGGCATCGAGCACCCTTGAAGCCATGCAAGATGCGTACGTCAACATTGAAACCCCTTTCACTTGCAACCTGAACAATTGTTTGGTGCTCCAAACACTCATAATTGCGAAACTTGGTGGAAGAATCCCTGTTTTGGGATCCCATTTTGGGAGAAACATCCTTGGTAAGGCCATGAACGTGCCCAAATTCAGCTTGTTCCTCAAAATGTTGTCAATGTCTTTAGGGAAGAATTCCGAGTTTGCGAAAACGCGACGGTAAATCGACTCAGCTAGCTTTGGATTGAGTTTAACGACGGTGATGCCTGAGCCTAATGGCTTGTAATGAGCATGAACTGGCTGCACCAGCATTGTTGGGGTGCGGAATTTGGTGTATCCACATTTTCTTGTGAACAAATTGATGGATGCTTCATTGGTAAAATCTGTGGCCATGTATGCATACTCTGCTCCATTCTGCTTGCACCATTCTTCTAATTTTTGAACCAGTTTTTTGCCAATGCCTAACCTCCTTCATCACCAATTGCGAAAATGATTAGAACCCTATAGTAATTTAATAACAAATTATCTTTTTTTTTTTAACCACGAAAGAAATATACTAATAATTAATTCAGATTTGTGTTGTGGGCTCGAGGTAACTTAGAGATGGGCAAAGTATGGCTTAATGTCCTAAATTAATCAAAGCCTGCTTACAAAATATAGCATTTCAAAAGAGAATCATAAGAAGCATTAACCCATATAAAATTGCAAAAGAAAAAAAGGAATTAAATTGATAATGCTGTTACATCGAAGCCGACGAAATTATGAAGGGAACCGAAATGGTGAAAAAGGGGGTCCGAGTTTTATATTAAGGAAGCTGAGTTTTATACTATAATACTATCAAATTTTTTTTGGAGTCATTGGCCCTGGTTGCCCTTAGATTTGTCGCTAGTCACATCCAAGGGAAGCTTTAAGGGCACCACTCTTAAGCTTGATAATCATATAATAATTGAAAGCTTAATATAATAATTAACATATTGGGATAAACAATGAGCTTTAGTTACTGTTGGTGATGGGTGATTAACAATTTTGTTTAAAAGCAAATGAGTTTTCATAAAAACCAAAATGACATAAGAAAAGGCAGCTTCAAAAGAAAGCAGTTGAAATTTTAGTGGAGCATTAGAAAGTAAGAAGCAAATATGTAAAGTAAAAAAGGCAAGTAGAAACAAAGAATAGAATGAGATATCAAAATCATGTCTACAATTTTTCCTTTTTCTTCTGTGAATAAAGCAATTAATGAAGTGGATTTAATACAAGTGTCGGTGCAACGTTAGCTGGCACTTGCTACTTTCCGTGATACTAGGAACATTGTGTTTTTCTTTATGCTGGAATCTGATCATAATTTTTTTTCTTTTGTTTAGTGGAGAATTAGGATTAGAATTTTCAACCCCCAACTCAAAGCACACTTGAAAATGCATGAATTAACAAAAAGAGGGAGAGAAAGAGAGAGCTTGAAAATGAATGGAAAGAGAGAAATGGGAGGTTGAAAAAGCAAGAAAAACAGTTTCAGAATCCATGGAGGAAATGAAGTAGAAAAGCAAAAGAAAAACAGTTTCTCCTCTGTCTCTCATCAGCCATCTAGGGTTTTAAAAAAAAAAAAGGATTCATGTAGTAAAAAGTAGTAACTTACATGTTGAAGAAAAAAAGAGATACGACCGTAACTTGTGATTATCACGTTTATCTTTACAAATTTATTGACTAATTGCAGCAACGGTAGAATTGAATAGAAACAAAGAAAGAAGCAAATGAATGGAAAAAGTGATTGAAAGAGAGAATGAAGAAAATACCTATGGGAAGGAGAGACCCTTAATCCCAGAATATAAGCTAACTTTACAAAAATTGAATTCCCTCTTGTCACAGTTTTCACACAACCTCTTATAACTCCTACAATCTCTCTTTCTTTTCCATATTCTGCAACCTGTTCACACCATACAATAAGAGCAAAATAGGAAGTATCAGAAATAATTAAACATGTAATCATCATGGCGGATCTATGTTTTTTTCTTATTGAGTGCCCACTTATAATACATATAAAAAATATCAACGGAAAAAACATGTAAAAAAAAAAAATTTGGAATGTCTCCTTTAAATTTTTTTTGTTTTCTGCCTTAGCTAAACATGTGGATTGGCTCCGCTAATCATCATTTCCATACACTATATATATATATATATATATATATATATATCTTTCTTCAAGTATTAATAAAATAAAAAACCATGCAAACATATATCTATAGAATGTGATGGGATTATTGATGAGGTAGAGAATTTCATTTAATTACCAGCATGATGTGAGATGGGAAGTGGCGGACTCTACAAATTGGGTCACCTAAAAGGTCAGCCACAAGTGAATGCTTTCCACCTTCCCCAATTTCACAACGTCTCTCCATCTCCTCCACATCCACCTTGTCTTTTCTTCATCATACTCTCTCACCACCACTAAATTCTCATCCGCCCACGCCACCGTTTCAGTGATCAATGGATTCACAGCCGCTATTTTCAGTGCCATATTTGAAAGAAGAAAGAAACAAAGATGTTTACTACTGATGAAGTAGTACTATATAGTAGTAGCAGTAGTACTGAAGTATATAGCTCAAGTACGTCTCTTTGTGTGGTGGTTGGCTTTGTTTTCTTTCGTTTAATCTCTCTCTATATATAAGGAGTGGATAGTCTGATGTGGCAAAGTACTTCAGCAGTTTTAATGGACAAATTTGTATTATTAGAGATGAGATGATGAATTATAGTCTCACATTCTCTCCATGAGCATTTGTGCAAAACTCATAAGATGAATAATGGAAGTAATTGTGGGAATTTTAAATATGATAGGATAATATAATATAAAAATATAAAAATGATATTATTGAAAATTTTATTAAAAATTATATACGAATTTGATGAAAACTAAAAAATATGTTTTATATTTTTTATATTAATACGAATTGTAATATGTAATTTTTATATAAAAAATAAATATACAAATTAACAATATTTTATGCGTTACAAATACATAAATTGACAAATTTAGATGAACGAATGGATATGTATATTCTCTAATGTTGCTATTGGTCATAAATTAGTAGATAATATTATTTGGTTGCTACAATTATTGCTTTGTAAGATTTTCAAAGATTCTTCAAGATCATATGCTATTTCATCAGGTGACTATGATAACTATATGATGATGCAAATCATGACAACAAATTAAAATGGGCATGTTTTAGCTTCCTTTCACTATGTTTGTCTTAGCAATTTTATGCAATATTATTATATAATAATTCTTTTGGTTTTCATCAATTATTGGTGCAAATAGAAAGAACTTTCATATATGAGTGTGATCATAATCACTATTATAATATTCATAACTTTTTTATACATTTTTCAATTATAATATTTGTATTTATGTTTAAATGAAAGGTGCTTAGTATGTGGCATATATGATTAGGACAGGTGTAGGTTGGTGAAGAGCCTGGAACCTTCCCCTTGCATTAAAATTGTAGTTGATTTGTTTACTGCTTTTCCAGGAATAAAGATTGCCCCTTAAATTTGAAACATGATGATGCAAAAGTTTCCAAGAGTACCAAAGCAATACTATTATGGGAAGGCTAATCTTATGTATATGTTGATGACTCTTTAGTCTTTTGGCATAGCTGGGATATACCAGGAGTCTGACAACAGATGGTCCAAGAAGCAAAAGAAAATTTTGCTGCAATAAAAAAATTACCAC